AGATACTTGTTTTACTTACCCTAAATGAGATCTCCAGATTTTCACCTCCCCAAATATTCATTCCTTCATCATATTGACCGAGCTGATTGAAATAATTACGATCCATGGCAAACAAGCCTCCAGCCATGGTAGGTGATCTGTTAATAGAGACAAATTAAAATTAAGACAAATTAATTACACATGGTTTATCGTTTCTACGAAGGAAACTATCACTAGGAGCCAATAAGAATTCAAAGCAAAGCCAAGTTAGAACCATGAAGTGCAGGACATTCAGCTGAACAAGTTGAAATAATTGTTAATTGACTGATAATAGCAAAAGAAGGTTCGACTCCAAATATTCATTCCAGATATTAAACACCCAAGATCTCAGCTGAGATCTGCACTCTAGGATATCCAGTTTGTGATCTGATTTCATTGTTAACCCTTTAATTCCCAGAAGTGATCAACATGAAACTCCTCTCTATAATATCCTTACACTATCCAGCAAACAGGTAATGAGAATATTCAAAGTCATCAGGTAGAAGTTGTTGTCTTGATCTTATACCAAATTCTCATAACTAATTTACAAGGATATATCTAGCAGCTAGAGAGAAGAATAAACAATCAGATCCTAGGAGTTAAAGGGTTAAGCTCACAGGAAAATGTGAGATAAGGGATGAAAAATAATCAAATGCAAATCTTTTACTCATGAGCAAGAACATGGTCTATTGACAATAACATAAGTACAGTGACAAATTCTATCCAAATTCTGTGCAGACTAGACTAGATTATGCATTTTTGACCACTATAAACCATGTAGAAATGTTTAAAACCTATCTTCCTTACCTAATGGGCAGAACATAGTCATCAGGCTTCACAAGCAAATGCTTGGGCACAGGCTCCCAAGAAAAATGAAGACCCCAGTTGAAACCGCCTCTCACCAAGGGAGAGGACTGGTAATCAAAGGTGTCCGCATTAATCATGTCAATCACTGGACAAACAACTGTAGTTGGATTTTTTTTTATCCTCTCCAGAAGTGGTGGAAGCCAATCTTTATTCACTTCACAATGACTGTCCAAGAATACTAGCACTTCACCAATTGCATTCTTTGCTCCTATCATTCGCCCTCTAATGAGTCCTTCACGTCGAGCTGTCCTCAATAGTTTGGTTTTTGGTAATTTTTTTACATAATTTTGAAGTTCATCTTTCAATGTTTCTAAGCTGCTATGGTCATCAACTAAGATTATTTCATGAACTAGATTTTCCGCTGTTCTGTTCAAGACACTGTGTACAGTTCTCAATAATGTTGACCATGCTTCATTGTGAAAGCAAATGATAATACTGGCTGATGGTAGATTTGAAGAGTATGTCATTGATTTACACCTGCAATATAATAAAGAGGAATAATAATTATTAAGTACTCACACAATTAATTTGGAAAATTGATTGGAGTATATCTGGGGTTGAAGTAATCATCTCTAGCATACTTTCTGGCAGGCTTGGAGGACCTTGCCTTTCCTAGATGCTCTATAAATGTGCTTCCCCTGAGAAAATTCTCTAACAATTATTTTGAATAGATAAATGAAATAATCTCCTCCTTTATCAAAATTCAGCCACAAGAAAATGACTTAAGTTTCTCTTTAAATCCTGGGTCTTCAAAACTTACTTGGCTTATGGATCATTTGGAAATGGCTGAGAGTTTAAATAAACAAGCACAGATTTTTTTAAAAAAAGAGCATTCTTAGAATTTTGAGGGGCAATATAAATTGGAAAACTTCCTTTCCATCAAAAATTGCTCTGGAATTGGGAGAGAGAGCAAGAAGATTTTAGCACAGTAGCACTTGGAGAGCACTATGAAGCAGCAGTGTATCAAGATCATTTAAACGGATGACGTGACCCTTGTGCGTTCCTCCCACTGACGTCCCCCTAATAGGATTGTTTGTAATCACCTGTAATGCTGTTATGAAAATTTGGATCAAAAGAAATCTTGCGTTTCCCTATTTACCATATGTTTGCTTAAGTCATAGAACTCATCCATCAGATTTCCATCACTTAGGGGGAGGCAGCAGTTATCGTAAGCAATGGTTTATAAGATTATAGAGTTCAACAAATAGCATAATTGTGTCAACAGTTAAATACATTTAAATTGGCTACTTACAATTCGTGTCTAGTGTCCTGTATTTCACGGTAAAACCCCAATCTGTTGCTAACAAGTTCATTAAAAGCGTGTTTCTCGTAACCGTTTTCTCTAATTCTCTGATCCTCCTTATTTCGAATTAAACCCAAAGTGCTAGGGTCCTTCTCTTGCGCTATCATCTCTCTCTCGAAATCGTCCGACGGGCTGTCGTTTTGAAGATGTCTACCGTATCCTTTGGTTAAATATTTATCGTTCGACCCCAAATACATAAAAGAAACCACGTTTAATAACACCCAAAACATCAGAATCATAAAAGAACACAGCATAAAATACCGTGTTGGTAATTTGTAAGCCATAATGTACATGCATGCACATCCCTCACTGAGCGGACAAAATTAATTTTCTACGATACAAGATCAGCTGCCTCCATGACAATGAATAAAGCATTCAGTCAGCTGAGTTATGCAGGCCTATGAAGTCCTCCTTAAAAACTTTATTTTAACTTGATTCATCGAAAAATTTCCTCTTTGCTCGTCTGATCTTTGAATCATGCGTCATCTAGTGGAGAAAGTAGACAATTTCCCTACAAAATGCAAACACGTTCCTGTTCCTTTCGCCGCTACATAGGTTCTGTAGATCACGCTTTCCACATCTGTTAAAATGAAACATCAAGAAAAAGGGATTTAATAAAAACTAGGAAACCATAATATATAGTGTGCTACAGTTGACATTTACAGTACAAATGCGAACAAGGCATTCCGTGACAATCTGATTCGAACTATGGAATACAACCGACTTTGAAACGCATATTCTAATCCTCTGTATAAACAGTGAGTGCTTAGCGAGGCAGTTTCAAACTCGTAAAAATTGTTAGAATCAAAAGCTCTCTCATGATCTTGATTTTATCACCCTCTTGACATCATGCCAATATTTTTCGCGAGGAGCATTGCAAATCAATTAAGAGCACGTTTCATAGGTACAGGCGTATTTTCTTCCCGCCAAATTTTGAAGGGCCTAGAAACGCACCTGGTTGATTTCAAACGCAAGAGAAACTCACTTTGTCAAAAGAAACTCGCTTCTTCCTGCACTTATCTCCGAAGAGAAACTTAACGCAGTTTCGTACAGCAATAAGACTCCTCTCTGGGACACAGCCAAGAGAAAGAAAATTTTTGCATGTACGTGAGTTACATGATAGAATATCGCTGATTGCAGCAGACAGAGGAGCGTGTGTTTATGTCGAATTCTATTGGATGGAATCGATATCTGCTGTTGATATCATGATTTAATCACGTGTGCATGTCATGTTGTGCCTGCTGACCAAGGGGACTGCGCTCGAAGAGTATCCGTAAAGTTTCGGAAAGGTTCGTTACTATCCGTCAAAAACCATCCTTGGTCACATGGTCACCAATAGCTCCTTCACCATTCTTCTCAGCCGCCATGTTGGTCCACGGATTACGGCGTGCGGCAAGAGCCGCTCTCAGACCTAACTTTGTCGCTCGCACTCTAAGACAAACTCAACAAAGAACACTTCCAGTATGTTCGCAACTATGTAAGTAAAAAAATTACGAAAATTCATTCATCATTTTTAGCTAAAGGAATGAGTTCTTTGGACGGCATTTGTAGGAAGACACGTTGATTGCGATACTGACTTTGTACTTCATGTTTAGCAAGGATTGCTTCCTACTTTCAAGTTCACTTTAAACAGTGACCGGAATTAACTTTCACGTCTCCAACCGTTTTTCGTTGTAGTTTTATGCGCTTTCATTTTATTCTTTGTGGACTTGCATGATGATATTGTGTCGGCTTGTATAGTAAGATTGATGTCCAACTTACCTCCTCCAGATAATCGTCGATATGTTTCAACCGATAAGCCCGTGTCCGCCGCGGCCGCTGCATCGGCTGCCGCACCAAAGGCAGGCTCAGCAGCCCCTGCCGCTGCACCAGGAGCAGTTGGTAAAATCATTGCTGTTATCGGAGCCGTTGTTGATGTACAATTTGACGAGGCCCTCCCTCCTATTCTGAACTCACTGGAGGTCGAGGGTAGATCACCAAGACTCATTCTAGAGGTCGCGCAACATTTAGGTAAGGATTCCTTTAGCCCGTTAGAACTAATGTTGTTGTTTGCTTATTTTATCATTATCCAGAAAGTTTCACATACTTGTGATTTGGAAACACCCCTCGAACTCTTCAGGCTTCCACAGTATAGGTATTGCCCCCCTCCCCTTCCCCCCCCCCCCAACTATTTCATTTTACGTTGCTTCAGACAGTTCAACATTTGTCTCTGACAGCAAAATACATGACATGTTTAGGAAATCAAAAATGGCTGTGACCAGAAATCATTCATTAGCTTGCCTTGAATGCAAAAAATTCTGTGAAGTCTGCAAGGGGTCTTAGGTCTAATTTATCTGTAAATACAGCCAACAATCAGTTTATGAATCATTTTGCCATCCAAAAAATAAAATTTTTTAAAAGAGGATGTGTAAGCACTAGTGTATTATAACTCATGGGTATTTTACTTTCCCAGTATACTAGAATTTGAAAGTTAATCCCCACAAATCAAACCTGGCAAAAACAAAGAAAAAGAAGCGGAAAAAAGTGATTGAAGGAGCCTGAATTGAGGAAAAACCTAGATATATGCTATTCCTTGATATAACTGCTTTCAAGATAAAGTTTAGAAGTTGAATTTAGTGAACTATTAAGATTGGTCTCAAATTTCTCTTACTTGTGTAGGGTGGGGGGGGGGGGAAGAAGTCTGGCCACTAGAAAGAAACTTATGTGGGGATGGTCTTAGTAACTCATGGACTTAACTTCTTTAGGTGAGAACACTGTGCGAACCATTGCTATGGATGGTACAGAGGGTCTTGTGAGAGGCCAAATATGTAAGGATACTGGTGGGCCTATTACAATTCCTGTGGGTCCAGAAACACTAGGAAGAATTATTAACGTTATTGGAGAGCCTATTGATGAAAGAGGACCTGTTGATACTGACAAGTAAGTGATTACATTGTTTATTAAGGTATAGTAAACTTGAGTTCCCAATCACTGTCAGGAACAAAGTTTTTCATAGAAGTTACATCATCTACGTTTGGTTGTGCAGACAGTCAAACAAGTTATATTTGTTTTTCCTTCAGATGAGCCTTAAAAAAGTAATTGGCTTTTAACTGATGAGAAAAAGGATAAAGAAAAGATGAAATATTATAATTGATTTGGGAGACTCTGAAATTGTGTTATGTCTTACCTCATGCTCTTATGGCAAAGAGAGTTATTTTTCCTATGACTCTTTTCAGACGTGCTGCCATTCATGCAGAAGCACCTGAATTTGTGGAAATGAGCACAGAACAGGAGATTCTAGTAACAGGAATTAAAGTGGTAGATCTTCTTGCACCATATGCTAAGGGTGGAAAGATTGGTATGATCAATTATTTGTTGTATATGACAGTTTTGCTTTGACTTTTTGTAGTTAAAGTCTATGAAGTAAAGAAATCTTTAAAAAATGTTTTCTTAGCCATTGTTTTGCTTATTTACATGTACTTTTTTGTTCACCCAAACTGTAATTCTAGTTTTTGTGGCTTTTGTTTATTTGACAAATCATCCTGACTAACCTGTGATTGACTTTGCCAAGAATTATGTATTTTTTTTCCCTTTTCTTTTTCATGACAAATTTACAGGTCTGTTTGGTGGAGCTGGTGTTGGAAAGACTGTGTTGATCATGGAGTTGATTAACAATGTTGCAAAAGCTCATGGTGGTTACTCTGTGTTTGCTGGTGTGGGTGAAAGAACACGTGAAGGAAATGACTTGTATCATGAAATGATTGTGTCTGGTGTCATCAGCTTGAAAGACAAGAGCTCCAAGGTAGTGATTGACAGATAATTTTGAGGAACCTTTTGTGAAATATTTAGTTGTCAACTCTGGACTGCAAAATAGGCTGCTAATACTCTTTGTAGAAAGATACATTTTGGTCCTTTGAATGGTACAGAGGCACCTCTAATGATATTACTATGCATGACAAATGGGGCTCAGTAATGTTTGATAATAATAAAAGTGTATGTTGTCTTGCTCAGGACAAGCATAATATAGCATCAAATAGAGCATAAGCTGTTATAGTTCACTGAAAGCCTGAATTCAAATCACACTTGCGAAATCATAAAATGAAAAACACCTTAATCTCAGAGGGCCCTATTAACATCAACAGTTCAACTTAAGTCAAGGACTTAGGTGGTGTCTCAGTGTTGGTTATTTTGATCATCATTTTTGTAACGTGTTGATTCTGTTGTGTTGTTAGGTGGCTCTGGTGTATGGTCAGATGAACGAGCCCCCAGGCGCCCGTGCCAGAGTAGCATTGACTGGCCTGACTGTAGCTGAGTACTTCCGTGATGAGGAAGGACAGGATGTGCTGCTTTTCATTGACAACATCTTCCGTTTTACTCAAGCTGGTTCAGAGGTGTGTGTAACAGTGATGTAGCACAACTATTTACGTTCAAAGGGCACTGGCTTTGTAAAGTAGCCCTTCACCTGGGTTGAACAGAGTAACTTAGTTGAGGAATTTTTGCATCAACAGATCCTTAAATTGAATCCTTGGTACAATTTAGCTTTATTCAAAGTACCCTAAGGATGTTTCATTGAAGCTGAAGATGAGACAGAAATAAGTTAGCTTCAACCTTCCACTGGAAATACTTAATATATGTCTTTCCCAGGATGCTTTGTATATTGATCATGGAATAGAAAAGCCAAACAAAATATTCTTGTTTCTCTTTTTTTGCAGGTGTCTGCTCTGTTGGGACGTATTCCATCAGCTGTGGGATACCAGCCAACTCTTGCCACTGATATGGGTACTATGCAGGAAAGAATTACCACCACAAGAAAGGGCTCCATCACATCAGTACAGGTAAATTATAATAATTCTGTAGCCATTAGCAAGACTTTTTGTATTTAAATGATCATTTTTAACTCGGCAAAAGGTTGAAAGTGTAAGTGTGGCAGTAAAACACAACAGCGATGAATAGTACTTTGGAATGAATTCAACCCTTAACTGACATAAAAGAGGAGTGCTTTCGGGGAGTAGATATTCATTTTCAGAACAATAAGTTTTAAAATAGAAAGTACATATAAGTTCAATGGACCATGACTTCTCACCACTGTATAAATCATTTTCTGAGTTCAATGGCTTGCAGCCACTTTGATTGTAAAGGAAAGAGAAAATCTTGCCCATGTGGATAAAAGGCTGTTTGTTTCTTGATAGGCTATCTATGTGCCAGCTGATGACTTGACAGATCCTGCTCCTGCTACCACCTTTGCTCACTTGGACGCCACCACTGTGCTTTCCCGAGGCATTGCTGAGCTGGGTATTTACCCAGCTGTGGACCCTCTGGATTCAACATCTCGTATTATGGACCCCAATGTAGTTGGTCAAGAGCACTATGAGGTAGCAAGAGGCGTACAGAAGATTTTGCAGGTAAGACAAAGTTCATCTCTTATGGTAATGATAACATTTTTCTTCTGTGGAAGATTTGGACCTAATTTATACCCTTTCAGTAAGTCATGTTATTGCAGTTAATTAACGATACAGCATGTAGGTAATTTTGTATGATCAACTGAGTTGGTAATGTAAATTGGCCACTGTAAAGAGTTAAAAAGCTGACTTTTCAAGCGTTAGCCCTTCCTCGATTGCTCTGACTAAGGGCTAATGCTTAAACATCAGCCTTTTAACTCTTTACAGTGGCCAATTCACGTTATCAACTTGGTTGATAATACTAGATTACCCTGTTAAACTATACTTTAGAAACTTGCCCCCTTTATTAACTGTACATCACATTTGATTGTTAATTTTGTTTGTTTGTTTTTTGTAGGATCACAAATCTCTTCAAGATATCATTGCTATCCTGGGTATGGATGAGTTGTCTGAAGATGACAAACTGACAGTGGCTCGTGCAAGGAAGATCCAGAGATTCCTCTCACAGCCTTTCCAGGTTGCTGAGGTTTTCACGGGCCACGATGGCAAGCTTGTTCCCTTACCGGTACAACAATAATGATATTCACTTTCTCCTTCATTATGCAACTGAGAAAAGTTGTTTCTGTCCATGGAAACTGACAGATGTGTGTTAGTTGAGGCCAGTAAATTTTTAAGAGAGAAATGGTTTGGTGCAAAATTATTGAAAATTACAGTTGTGTGTTTGCATCTTGAAACATATAGATTACTTCTGCAGCATTTTCTTAATTTTTTTT